TTGGGAGACAACCTGATTTTCCTCTACCGCCTTCACTTTGGCCAATAACCTGTAAAAATGTGTGTGTGTGTGTGTGTGTGTGTGTGTGTGTGTGTGTGTGTGTGTGCGCGCGCGCGCGCGCGCGCGCGTGCGTGCACTAATAGGCTGAGAAGCAAATCTTAGTTCTAAAATGCTGCACAATTTGTGCAGCTTGCTTTATAGCCTCAGCAGTGATACACCCCCACAGGCTTCCACACACTGTGCCATCTGACTGACAGGCTCTGCTCACCTGCTAATTTAAACTCCAGCTTCTCACAGCTTCTCCCAAACCCCTAACTCCCCAACTCTAAACCAGATCACAACTGTATTTTTTAATTATTTGGATGACATGGGGTTTTTATCTTACTTCCATGTTCTTTTGAAAATGTGTGATGACTAGATGCATGTGTATGTGGGCGTCATAATACTATCCTATCTCTGTAAAAAGCTACATTCTTATCTGTATAGGTCTTTGCCCACATGCATGTATGTACATAGCGGTACAATGCACAAAGAGGTCAGAAGGTGGCATCAGACATCCTGGAACTAAAGTTAGGGGCCAATACATGGGTGCTGGGGACCCAAGCTGGGTCCCCTACAAGAGCTGCAAAAGCTCATAAGCACCGAGTCATCCCTTTAGCCCTCAGCCTCTTTTTGCTACGTGTGCTTTATATTTACCATAGTGGATAGTTTTTGAAAGTTTCCTCTAACCTTAAAAATGAAAGCAGCACAGACAGGCAAATCTTTCTTGTTTGTTTTATTTTGTTTTGTTTGAGACAGGATGGCATCCTGTCTGCCCTGGAATTTGGGGTGGCCTCAAATTCAGAGACCTGCTTACCTCTGCCTCCTGAGTGGTAGGGTTAAAGGTGTATGCTACCACACCCAGCCTTTGATCTTAAAAACCGAAAAAAAAATACATTGTCTACAGTTTTTCTTTTTCATGATTAACTTTCATACAAAAACCATGCTAGAATCATAAATGTCATAATACTTGAACAATAGCAGTAACTTTGACTAGAAATACAGTATTCTCTCCATCATAGCACACAGCATGCTATACTGACATAAGTGTTAGGTTCCTAATACTCTGTCTTTGGCAAACTACAACAAAACCCCAACCTTGAAATTAGCATCAGATAATGTAACAGAAAGATCTGAAGTTCAATTATCTCTACATTGATGGCTCTTATTTGACATAAACCTAGAATAAAGGTATAAAACTTTTAATCTAGATTGCCACTTTGGGTAAATTATTTTCCCTCAGCTTTGTTTAACAATTAACACAAGAAAAAAATGGTCAAACATATGTTCCAGTTTCAGATCTAAAAGTCTCACAATTTGGAGAAGCAAGCAGCCATAAAACATACTGTTATATTTTTTATATGAAGCAACAATTCAAAATGATTTTTTTCCTGTTCATTGTAAGATCATACCCCATGAGTGGTGGCCATCCCTGAGGCATCTACAAAGCCAAGGACAGGGACCACTGCATCTCCTTCCACAGAGCGGAGGCTGCCACTCATGTCCTTTCTGTTAACGTACTTGTGCAACATGCTGTAGAAATGGTTCTTGGGATTGAACGTGTAAAGTGCAGAGATTTGCTGCCAGGCTTTACTGCTTGGGGTGCTGCAATCCTTCGGATTTGTGCAGTCAAAGAAACACCTAACATTCTCTTTTGCCAGCTGGGTCGCATGTTCCATAGCTTCTCCTTGAAGGATCTGCCTCTCCTTTTCCAAATATATTTCCCAGAATTTTAGCTGCAGATAACTAACCGGAGAGAGACATCGAGTGACAGACTTCACAACCAGAAGTAGAATGATGATAGCTGCTATCAGGATCCAGCCCAGCACCTACAGAAAACACAACAGGATGTCAACTTAGTGACCTTTGACATTAGAAAAAATTAGAATAAGGAGTGTTAATAACAATACCCCCACCCCCAGTACATCAACACAACTATTGTCTTGAAAAGTCAACCAGAGTCCAAGTCATGTCAAGCGCCCAAGAAGGAGCTCACACTCGTCACACCCCTAGAACTGAAAACTTGGGAGTTCGGTGGATCCAGAGAAAGGAGCGTCCGTTCTGAAGAGCCCCCAGGGCTTCCTAAGTTCGTAGATAGTGTGGGTGGTGGGTTTGGGCCTGGTAAAACGGGTTCTGTTGTAAAAATGCTTCTAGTTTCCCTCGGACGTGCAACTTCGTCTGGCCTGAGTATTTGCTGCATAGTGGAAGGGAACACTAAAGCATGAGGCAGAAGGTACCAGTCCAGGTGAGCTTATTCTGGCTCCTCCATCGCCAGCGATTGGACGAATGCCTCCCCTCTTTCTCTGCTATTTAAATATTGACTGTCGCTGGTCTAGAGAAAACCTACACACTTCTTCCCCGCCTCTCTGTGCGTCCCCATGGCGCCCAGAGTCTGACCTGAGACTGAGCCTTGAGCTGACTCAGGATGTCCTGCATCTCCGCCTCCTGCTTCTTGCAGGGAACCTGCGGTAGCTTGGCGGCGCAGCTAGGGTCGCGGCCCTTGCACAGGTGTCTGGCCATGGCCTCGCTCCCGCTGACAGCACACTGGTAGAAGGAGCCTCCGAGCAGCGCTACCGCCACCCAAGTGAGGGGCGGGAGCGCGGCGGCCGCGCTGATCTGTGCGCACACGAACACGCGCTGCAACCCCGAGCTGGATTGCGCGCTCGCACTCCAGGAACAGCAGCCTGTGAGCAGGCGCCAGGTGCGCGTTCTGAGAGCATAGCCCAGGAGGAAGAGGGCTAGCGCTGGCACCAGCAGGAACACCAGTCCATAGGGCAGGTTCCAGGTGGCGCTGCAGGGACACTGGAACACCACCTCGGAGAAGATCTTCTCCCCACCTGCAGTCAGCAGTGTCACCAAGCCGTAGCCCAGGGCGCTGCGGTGCTTGCTCTGCAGGTCCAGCACTGCCTTGAACTTCTCCATGGATTCCGCTCACCCTGGGCACCCCGCGGGTCCAGAAGCTTCAGCTATGCTCTATGTGTCGAGAGGGTTGAATGAGCCGGGTCTGGGACTTTGCACCCTGCTTTGAAGTAACTTTAGAAAAGGGAAGAGTGCTTCTCAGCCCTTTCCGGGTTTCACTTTTCTTTTTCAACCAAACCAGCTCTGGCAGAGGCCCACAAGTAGGCCCCTAGATCCTTGACCTCCCGGACCCACTCCACATCCAAGGGCTATAGGGAGCAAGAGAATACCTGAGTGAGAGGTGTGAGTGACTGTATTTTGACATGGGCAGGACTCCATGGTAAACTGGCAAAGCCATATGGGCCAAGAACAAGAGTATTGGCAAAGCTTTCCTTAGGAGTATTCATGCTTACAAACAGTAGATCAGTGCGCACAAAGACTAGCAACAGCAGCTTTCTCCTGAAGTTTACAGGCTGTGAATGCTGGCCTACAGAGGTGGCTTTCCAGTCTAACCCCTCCCCATGCTGTACCTAATATACAAGCTAGATTTTGGAGAGAACACCACCTGATCCCACCTTCATTGCCTATGTGTCTGTATGCCTGTTGCTTCTTCATTCCCTCTCAGCCTCTAGCCGGCCTTCTAGTGAAGGGACCAGCCCCCCATTTAGGCAGCCATGACAGTAACACGTGCTCACTATGACCTTGTCTTAGTCACTAGAGGTTAGGTTAGGTGCCTGCCTTGTGACAAGGAACCAATCAGAAGTTAGCTGGTAGCGCTATGGTTTACAACTCTGGGTGTGCTTTACAGACAAGCACACAGCAATAACAAGCAGAGCATAGCAACCACCCTGGGAGGGCCTATGGGCCATAACAACCAGTTGGCCAATCAACACAGGGCAAGCCTGGAGGCACACCAATCATGAGCCTCTGCGTACCCCTAGATACTCCCCTTATGCTGCCCTACAAGATCTCTCTCTGCAGCAGGTCCAAGCTGTCTTTTGCAAGCCATCCGCCATTGCGGGTGGGTGAAAGACCCGAGCTAACATGGGGTTAGCTTATTAAAAAAACAATAAAGCCTCATGCAGTTTGCATGAAATAACCTGGCACTCCTGTACATCATATAGAAGAACTCAATTTGACTTCATTCACAAACTTGATGCAGTTTGCATCAAGCTCTCGAGTCGGCCTGGTGATTGGGGTGACCGAGGTCGTGGCCTGGGACCCCAGATACCTGAGTTTTCCGGGGGTCTAACACCAGGATCCAAGCTGCAGAAGTCAGAGCAGAAGGTGGAGATCCTGATTACACTGATTGTTCAGTTTTGGACCGCTACCACAAGGAAACTCTTGTTCTGTTGTTTTGCTTTCCTCCAAGGCAACATGACCTCTTACAAGGTAGCCAGTTAATCAAAACAAGAAAGCTGCCGAATTTCCCTCTTTTGCATCAATCCTAATTCCTAAGCCAGCACCCAATTACAAAAAAGCACAGCAATTACAGGAAGCACAGACACACTTTCCCATTTTCCTTCATATGCTAAACCACAGAAAAACTGTGAATGAAGTCAAATTGAGTTCTTCTATATGATGTACAGGAGTGCCAGGTTATTTCATGCTAACTCCTCTCTCTCTCTCTCTCTCTCGCTCTCCCTCCCTCCCTCCCTCCCTCCCCCCTCTCTCTTTCTCACACACACACACACTTCCTGTCTCTGATATCCCCAAAGGCTGAATGTACTGTTAATTTATCTTAGTATAATGGATATTTTTTCACAGGTATACCACAACACTTTCTGTACTTCCAGGGATGTCAAATTATTACTTCATGACTACAGACCATCAGCACAGAGGGTGTGTATAGCTACTCAAGAGAGGCTGGGCTTGGTGGTGCTAACCTTTAATCGAAGCACTGAGGAGGCAGAGGCAGGTGGATCTCTGTGAGTTCAAAACCAGGCTGGTTTATATCCGGAGTTCTAGGGCAGCCAGGGCTTCTACGTGTGACTCTGTTTCAAAACAAAAGAAACAACAGCAACAACAAAATGTAGTGAACTTGTAACGGTAGCCACACCCCTTGGGCGTGGCCTCAGGCAGGCGGGCAGAGGGAAGTTTTGAGGCGTGGCTTTCCCGGCGCTTCCTTTCTGGTGAGTCATCCGACCTGATAGGAAGTGCAGAGAAATGCTCCCACGGTTCTTTGTATTTTTCTGTGTAATTGTTCCCCAATAAACACCCATTTATCATTTATCTTGGGTCGAGTGAAGTAATTACATCCTGGCCTTCAACAAAAACCAAAACAGAACTCTAGTTGAACCAAAGACTTTCAAGGTGAAACCACATCTAACATGTCCCCAGTCTTCACTCTTCACAAGACAGTTCTTCTGATACAAACTGCAATCAAGGCTGTGACACTGAACCCTATTATTTCGTGGCTCCCAAATGAAGTGAAGGCTACAAGAAAGAACACAGCTTTGCACCTGGGTCTTCTGTCTCTGTGTTACTACTCTCTAAAACTTAGCATCTTCATTTGTCAAAGAGGAGTAGTTGGCCGGGCGTTGGTGACGCACTCCTTTAATCCCAGCACTCAGGAGGCAGAGGCAGGCTGATCTCTGTGAGTTCGAGGCCAGCCTGGTCTCCAGAGCGAGTGCCAGGATAGGCTCCAAAGCTACACAAACTGTCTCGGGGGAAAAAAAAAAACAAACAAACAGAGGAGTAGTTATGATTATTGTGATGAGTTGAGCAACATATGAGAAAAAGTACATTTGGGGCATGCAGTTGAAAGAGCGATCAGTCTGACAAGTTATGTCTTACAATCCAAGAATATACAATTAACTTCCTTGTGTATTATATCAGGCTCAGTTTTAGACCAAAGGATGCATGCTGGTACTTGATGACCATTCACTACCCTAAATAATTCATGTGGCTTTTAGCTGACCACAAGGAGGGCATCCACATAGAGTCTTGGTGGATAGTCATAGTAATTGGCTGCTCTCAATGCCCACACTAGGCCAGCTTTGTTTTATTTGATAAATATTAATAGCTTGTACTGCAAAGCGAATTTTTGAAATGGGTCAAGAAACGTTGTTTTCTTAGTCCACTTGCCTTCTTAGTTACACATACCATGACCACCAGTGACTCTAATCTAGCACAAAAACTCAAGAGTGGTGTGACAAGGTGTCCTTCTTTCCATGTATGCTTAGAAGAAAGTCAGACCAGGATTATTTTTTTTAAATATTTTATTTATTTATCATGTATACAACATTCTGCTTCCATGTATATCTGCACACCAGAAGAGGGCACCAGATCTCATAATGGATGGCTGTGAGCCACCATGTGGTTACTGGGAATTGAACTCAGGACCTCTGGAAGAGCAGTCGGTGCTCTTAACCTCTGAGCCATCTCTCCAACCCCAGACCACGATTTTTACTGTCCTGCAGCCTCATTAGAGCTACCGAGACTCTGCATGTTTGAGGGTAATCTAGTCAGCTGTGACTCTCGTCTCGCTAGTCCTCATCTTCTAGAACATCTTCCTTCCCATGAGTCTTGGCTAATTTTCTTCTATTGCTTATGTTTTGTTCTTCATCCACCATTTCCATATTCCATCAAGAAAGAACCTGGCTGTATTCACAACCTTCATGCAGATGGCTTTATTCCAGTTTTCCTTAACTGAAACCTAACAAAAATGCCATTTTCCAGCCTGACTAATCCTTATTCTTATATTTCTGCCATCCAAGTACTAACCAAGGCAAACCCGAAATATCTTCTGTAATCAGACAAGATTCCCCCACCCAACCATATTTCTCATGTCAAGAAGGGCTAGCCTTTTCCTAGTTACTTTCCATAATGGCCAAACCTGAGATTTCTCACCTCTGTGTAATAGTTTATCCTCCACCAAAGCTCAAAGCCACTCAGAATATCTCCCTTCCTACCTCAACCATACCCTCTATCATCTGTTTTCACTCTTCTGTTTATTCAAATTGAATGAAGTTGGCAGGCAACTTTCTATTCTCTGGCTCTCGTCAATCAAAGATCTGACTTCAAATTTTTTTCCCACATAAACCATCTTCTTCCTTCTCTAAATTAATTTATTAGCCAGTTCATTAGTTTATCTCTTCAGTCAGTCATTCGTGAAAATGGTTAATAAGCACACAGGCTATGCTTGGCTCCTATAGGAAGTGGCTGATACTGTTAGATACAAGAAGATCAAGACAGAAAGATCTCATGCCATCCCTAATAGTAAAGCAGAAAGAACATAGAAAATGAGGTAGTTCTAAAGATTATACAGAGGGAGAAGATGGAATGACCAGGAGTGTCCTCCAAATCCTGGGAAGAAATGGCAATTAATATACAAGCAATGATCCTGGAAGCCTGGCTGTAAAGAAGACCAGGGCAATGGGTTATGAGAGGTGAGAACCAAGGTGGCACATTATAAGGACAGTTGCAGGTTTAGGGATTTATAGTCCAGAACATTCACTTGAAATTCTGCCCAGAAACAGTCTGAGTTATAACAGGTTAGTGTTGGGTCAGCTTGTGTCTATAACAACCATCCCCACCCCCTGTCGCCACTTCCATCCCTGGGTTTGTTTCCTCTGTGCTCACAAATCAATCTCCTGGGGATGATGATCATGCTAGATGCACAAGTTTCTACAGCCATGGAGGGTTCTGGTCCTGCCTGAAGTTTCTCCTAGAACACCTCTGGCTCCATGAGTGGTTTTAGTACCAGTCTTTTGATATAATCCAGCCCTACATACCCAGTAGTATTCTAGAGAATATTTCTCAGAAAATAAACCCTCAGTGGATGTAGACTCACATAAAACAGCAGCATTTAAAAGGACTTCGGAAAAATCTATGATTTGAACACAGTCTTCTCAGAAACAAGCAAAGATTCTCGTGTTCACACACCACAAAGCCAATGGGTGTGTGTTTCACTTTTTTTGTCTATGTTGATTCTCAACTATCATGAGCAATGTCAGGAATGGTCAAGTCACCACAACTTTCGGGAAAAGAAAGCAAGAGAAACTTGAAGGAAACCACAGCACTATGACTCTGAAAGCTGTTTGCAGCTGTCTTGCATGAACCTACTTCTCATTGCAGTTCACAAACCTCAGGAGAGAGCTCAGGACATTCTCGTGGATGACTTAGAATGTGTTTGCTGAGAAACCCCCAATGTTAAAGAGAATGTCCTTATGCATATTAAAGAACATGTGTTCATTTAGTATATATAAAAATACGGAGCACATCTGAAGATTATTGGGATGGAGAAATAATTCCTACATTATATAATTCATCTGTTTAAGGTATATACTCCCACATTTCACTATGTTCCCCAAATTGAACATTCCATCACCACCATTGATTAATAGCATTTTCACTACATAAAGGAGAAGTTCAATGGCACTTCACAGTCATTCCCATTTCTCGCCTCTCCCAACTTAACCTCCAATTTCATTCCCAAGGCCTCTCAACAACTACTATTTTCTTTCTTCATTGCCTATTCTGGATATTTTTCCATCTTTCTAGCTTTAGTAGTATACGGTTTGTCCGGCATCTCTCTATCACCCATACCTCTGGTGATAACTCTTTCTTCTTCCAAGACATCCACAGCAACACAGTGAACCCTTTTCTGCCTCAATGGCTTTGGAAACAAATCTTCCTCTGCTTGGAATTTTCCCTCCGTTGCTTCTTTATCATCCTTAATTTTCAAGTGTCGCATCCTAGAGAGGAGTCCTTCTGTGTTGGAAAGGTTAGGAAACAACAATATCCAAACTGGTCACAGTGTGGTGCTCATAGCCCAGAGTCTTCAGATAGACATTATAGCACATTTTCATGTGGTCCCTCTTGGTTGGCAGAATCTGTAAGCTGATAATAATAGATTAATCTGTTCTCTGCCCAAAGTATACAGTGAGTGGAGCCATGACATCCACAGGAAGTATTCCATCCTAAAAGGAGAAAATGGAAGCTGGGTTTGAGTACAGGGATCTATGTAACTCTGAACTGATTTGTAAGCCTATGAACATTTCATGATTCTATGTCTTCCAGTTTCTTGAGATCTTCTCCTTGGCTACTTACTGCACTTCTGGGCCACTAAGCAATTTTCTTTGTTCTTGTGTTACTTGTGTAATATTAAATGTAAGTAAACATATGTTCATTTGAGCTTATGATTTCTCAACTTTAAACCCCTCCTATGATTAATAAGCACCTCATCTCTTTGATTACAGTCAAGTATGCTTGCCAATATGTGCATTTGTTTTTGGAAAGTTGCTTCTTAGACCTACCATATTCTTTCGCTTTTTGGACGCATATTACTCCCATTCACCCTTACTGCCATTGCATGAGCCTACACGGGTCTATGATTCTCTGTGGAAAAGCCACACCTAATTTTGTCTTTGTCCTGAGTGTTTGTCCAGTAGAATACATTAATACTGTCAGTCCTGAAGTGCCTTGTTTATTGAGAGATGTTACCAATAGGTCTAGAGGCCACGCTTTTAATTTGACCTTATCTACATTTAATGGGCTTTGCCTTTTGGTGATGTGTTAATCTCTGTCTTTGTGTTTGGAATCTATAAAACCTGTAAGGATTTGTAATTTTGCAAAGCTCCAATTTGTGAAATAGCTCTGTTCCTTTCTGGTTTGTTTACAAATTATGCAACTCCCTTTGAGCTTATGTCGCCTTGCCAGAACCTAGCTGATAACAGCAAATACACACTAGGAATGCTGTTTTCTCTCCCGAGCCCTAAAGCCGTGTTCTCTTCAGTTATATAATCTCTGGTCCCACTTTATAACAAAAGTCAGTTTCACCAATCACCACATAGCACGATTGCCAACTTTCTAGACGATTTTAACAATTTCTAGGCTGTCTATCATTGGCTGCCAAAATCATGCCAAATATTGTCAGGTTTTTATTAGGGGAGTGCCCTGCTCAGACACCAACACTGGTTAGAAGCAGCCACAGGCTTCAGTTAACCACAAGGGAAGGGGGACGTGTGGTCCATGTTTGTGACTTCAGGGCATGAGTGAGAAACAGGGCGTTTCTCAGCACCTTCCATGACCTTTTCTGTGTCTCTTACATGCATGTTT